ATATATGTGTATATATATATATATATGTGTATATATATGTATATATACGTATGTACACAAATTGCATTTTCCAGATCAAATCTATTAAACTTTAGAAAAAATGCACATGCACAACCCTGTACCCTCTCCCGACAGGGAACGCCTATTAAACGTGTGTGAGAGCGTGCACGAGCCCATTTCTCCTCGTGCACCTTCTGTTTAAAGGTTGCTGTTCTCATAGCTCATCCAAGCTGACTGTGTCCGAATGTTCGCCCTAAATGCCTCAATGCGGGGACTATATAGTTGACTTTATAGTGAACTCTTTACTTTATAGTTAACTGACCGTTCAGACAGATGATCACTTCCCCCATTGGTCCACCGCACGGTGCGTGTGCCATCTTTAGAGTTAGTCGCCGCTGTCAGGTAGCGACAGCCTTTGGGGACAGCGGGCTGCTGTGACAGCAAATCCCTTAAGGCTTTGCATGAAGAGCTCTCTCTGCAAAGCATTCTGGGATACATCTGTCTCTCCTGAGGCCTTTCTTTTTTTTTACACTTCATAGGCACTTTTTCTCTTGCAACCATCGGCCATTTTAAAAGAACTGCGGTGAGAGAGGTGAGCTTCAATGTCTGTCTGAAATCGTAGCTCGCCACAGATATGTGGCTGAAAGTGCCGAGGGGACGAACATGTAGGATGGCCTTAACGTAAACATATCACCAGAATGATTGACAGTTAGGAGGACCACTTATTTAGATGATCCACCCAGAAATAAAAGATCATCCTCTATACCTTTAACTGAATTTTAAAAGATGCACTTTATAAACCTCTTTTTAAAAAGCTAGCTTTGAATGTATATTATCTTTAAAAAATTGAAGAAAAAACATATATAGTTTAAAAAATATATAAAATTTGAAAAAAAAAGAAAAACCAACATATAAAATAAAATAATTTGAAAAATCAAAATCTAACAAAACAAAACCCCTTTTTGATTAAGAAGTTTTTCAAAGTTTCATTTCTACATTTCTTTTTTTCAAATTTCCATTTAAAGAAATTAGTTTTTTCCTCATAACAATAATAAAACTAAATTCCTTCCATATTTTTTCTGCCCCACAGGAAAAATGATTTACTGCATGAAATTTCAGACACAATTTGTCCTTTTGTTGATTGTAGCATCATGTAAAAGCCGAGAGACATTCAGTTTAAATAATTTGAGTTTATGTTTGTTAGTTTCTGTTTGCTAAAGATGTCGCCATGTTAAAGTCGTGTATAATTACAGCCTAAAAAAATGTACGATGACCAGCCTTTTATGCACACGTGAAGCTCATGTTTGCTACTCTGTTTAAACTGCAATAGCTGCAGTATGTGCTTATTTTCTGTGTAACCCCCACTTACGTCAAAGTACCTGTAGAGTAGATCTGTATCTTGCTGTACTGTAGGAATATTGTTTTTTTTTGTGCTTACTGTGAGATGATGTCAAATTGGGAAAATGCAATGAGAAATTCAGCTGGATCTCTAATGTGAGCCGCTCATTTATTGGCTCTTCTTTCATGTTTTAGCTGCTGTTTTTATCCGTGTTGTGTTACACCTCTTTGTGTTTTGGCGTTACGTTGTTAAAGCACTGATGTTTACAGAGACAACGGTTTACAACCGAGCTAAATCTGTGTTTGCCAAAGCCTTCCTCTCAGTCTCAGCCCTGCATCTGCAGCGATCAGCCGCTGCACTGCAGGTCAGGGGAAGGTTTGTTGAACAGCGAATCGGTTCAGTCATTTCAACGCCAGGAAAATAAACTTTGCATCAATCAAAAATAAAAAAAAGTTAATTTGGGTTTGCATGTTTAGAGAGAGATTTGTTCTCCTTGTCCTCATGCATTTCATGTCCTGAAACTACTAATTGGTTGTGATGTCCATTCTTTAGTCCTTGCTGTAAGCAAGTGCGCCCCCTACTTTTGGAATCGCTGCAGTACTTTAAATCAAAAGGTGAAACCTATATATTCTATAGATAGATTTTTTTTACCAGGGTTTATATTTTAATGTTTGCGATGATGGCTCACAGCTAACAATCAGTTTTTTCTCAGAAAATTAGATTTATTTTAAATCAGACCAATAAAGCAGGTTTTAAATAAAGAAACGTGGAAAAACAAAGTAAATAACTGAATTTCTATGAGGATTTTCTAGTTCTGCTTACCAATCAAATCGCTTTATAATCAACCCACAGGTGCGTATTTACATAACGTATTACTGTATGTGAATGTGCACGTTTAGTTAAATTTGAAAATATCAAATCTGTAAAAAAGAATGGACAAAAATAAGGTTTAAAGAAATAATATGCCTGGTGCAGAAAGTTAAAGAAGCTGCTAAATCAGGTATATTAATGGAAAGTTAAGTAAAATCGTTCTTTTAATTTGATTTTCTTATACATCTTGATATGATTGTATGATGTTTTCCTTCCACTTAACTTTCCATTAATATCCCTGCTGCTGAAAGC